GTGATTCTCCCCATATTGGAATCGAAATTCTCTACATACTAGAATTGTAAACCAATTCCCTCTGGTATATGAGAGAAGTATTCAAAAAATATATAAATTTACCTATTATAATCGACTTTGGCATGGGGAAACGGCGAATCGAGATTCCAAAACGGAATCGCTACCCTCATAGACGACTTGGGTATAATTGATACACTTCCAAATCAGTCTAAACAATGTTATCAAGGTCTACCCTTAAATTTTTGTATTATCAGTGGTTTTCCTTCTCATCTTGGTAAAATTTCAATTCCTCCCACTAGTGGGTTCTTCCTTATCTCTTGTACAATTAATGAAGTTCTTAAGCAAACAATGACCCATATATTATGGAAAGACAAATATCTGATATACTTCTCTAACAAGAGTTGTATTGTGTAGGACTTAGTAATAGGATTGTTCTAGACCAACTTTGGTGAACCTCTTCCTCTTCAATCTTCTTAATTTCTTTTTTATTGGAACCATCTTCTCAAGAAATAAATCAAGTTAATTTGTTACTGCATGTTTGGCATCATAGATTAAGTCATACTCGATCAAATGAGAAGTTATTTGTCCTCTCTTCATTAGGTTTTTCAAATACAAATGTCATTAAAGTTGTTTCCTATAAGAGTTGCAATGTGGTAGAACACTTACTTTGTCCTTTCCAGTGAATTCTAATGAAAGTACAATTTCTTTTGATTTAGTTCATTCTAGTGTAGGTCCAATTACAGTCAACTCATATGATGGTCTAAAATCATCTAAACAAGGCATGATAGCTAGAACCATCACATGAATTCACTAAATTGAACATCATACACCTAAATAAACCAAACAAATAGAAGCTGCATTTTTATTAAGAGTCGAAAGAATGGGAAGAGTGTAAGAGTTTTTCCAAATTCCAACTCATTCAAGAAACAACTCTAGAAGCATTCTGATTTGAAAACACTGATGGCCAAAATCTAGAAAAGAGAAGAGATAACACCTTAATGGAAAAAAGGTGACCCAATTTTTTATTCCCGCATGCCATAAGCATTTGCTTGACTTATATCATGAGAAGACGATGCCAATAAAGAAGAACTAGAATGATAATGAAGACAAAGAAATTCACCATAGTTACGACGAAACAATCCTCCCACCTTATGACCTCTCCCACTCACTTCCCAAGTAACCAAATACCGGATGGTACAAGGTTTACTACAAAAGCCAACCAAATATGAATTTCTGATGCCTGGTCCTATTAAAATAAGGTTCATTAATAGCTTAAGAACAATAATATAATACTGAAAGACAGAAGAACCGCTGGTGCAAGGGAATGAAACTTTACCAATATGAGCAATAGGTAAAGAATATAATAGTATAAACTTAAAGGTGACTTGGTAAGGTTGTGCACATGAAAGATTTGAAATTGTACTAATCATGTCACCAGAAGCACCAACATCAATGAAGTAGACAAGGAAGACAACTCATCACCTAGTTAGTTATTGATAAAGCTCGAGTCAGCCGTGATGGTCGGCATGTGAGGTAAACTTGGAATAGAACACAATGAAGATGCAAATGATGAGTAGCTCAAAGCAATATTTCCAGTCTGTGACTTGATACCTACATTGTTCCATCCATACATCTTAAACTACTTGGATAATGCTTTCTTTATGCAGCTCAAAGCAACATGTCCCAACTCCAAGCAAACATCGCACTGCACTTTACTAAAGTCATATGTCATAGTACTAGATGTAAAAAAATGAGTCATCTGGGATAGAGGAAGAAAGCTTAACATTTCCTAGCATGATAAACTGAGTTCCTTTAGATAGCAACACTTATAGGATATCACATACGGATGAAAGGTGAATAAGATGCAATTGTTATCCTTAAATACCCTCAAGATACGGTTCTAAAATTTATAAAAAAAACTAAAATAACCTGTTTTTGTCTTGCTAAAAACATCAAGTGTGTTGGCAAAAACCTCAAGACTCCATCACAGATAACTCGTTCCAGATGATAGAGAGTGCATCATAAGTGTTCCTGGACATGCTTCAGTCCTTGACAAAGTTTCACCATATAACATCAAGATGACATTCCCTGAGATCAGATAGCTGAAGAAACGCCTACTGTAGATTACTTGTAATTCTTTTTGAGGTGTGGAAGTTATTCACATTCACTCCTCTCAACTTCAGCTGAATATAGAATCCACATCATAATGCAAATGTCCATCACTTCCCGCTCATATACTCAAAATTCCCGCTATTCAGGAATTTTATCAATTTTAGTACACAAACTGCAAACGTACACCAAAAACTTCAAGTTGGGTGTCCTGGATTTGCCTGGATGAGAGGACAAAAGCCACCAACTAAATTTGGGAGCAGAGCCCCAATATGTGATTGTACCGATGTTATTAAGACAAGGTGAGATCATCTAGTCCAATGGGCTGGAGCAAGAATCAGACTTATAACTGGTCCACCCCAATCATTGAGTGGGTAGATTGGTCAAAACCGGTCTGAAGTGAACTGACTTGACCCAGCGAAATCAATAGTTGTACCAGTTGAACTGGCACTTTTAAGACTAGTTGGACTGGTTGAACAAACCAGTTCAAACTAGTGTTGAAAAGATCAGCGATGCAAATCCGAATTGTCCAATTTGAATTGGAAGAAGTGGGTTTCAAATTCTAGATTGCAAACAGGAGACTTGTCCAGATCACAATTATTTTTGTACTGAACCAAGCAATTTATTTGTCTAACTCAGCTGATTCCCCACTCTTAACGATTTTCAAAAAACTGCCCATGTCCTACAAAATGCCTTTTTTGCCCCTCTTTTTGTCCAAAAAAGAGATTTTTCCGCCACTTTATCAATCTTTGGTCCATTTTGAGTTATTTTATTCCCAAATTTACAAGATATAGTCCTTTTTGCAAGATCTATAAGATTTAAAGCTTGTTTTTTTTTTTCCTCAAATCGAATCCCTACTTTTATGAAATCAAAGCTTAAAGACTTGTTTTATTTTTTCGGGGGAGAATTTTAATCCTGATCACTCTTAACAATGTCTGAATAATTGTTTTTTTTAAATGAATTTGACGAATGAATCAATCTTTTTTTGACGAATTTGACAATTGAAACACTAATTAAAAATACAATTTTCAACCATCATTGTTTTTTTTGACGTTGAATCCATTTGAATTTTATTCTTTCTTTTTCTTTTCAACAATTTTGAATTCATTTGAATGAATGAGCATGAGTCTTTGACAATTGTTCTCTTCCTTTGTTTTACAATTTTGAATTATTCAATTTTTTTTACTATTTTTTAATCAATTTTAGTTAAAGCCAAAGTCAATGATTCAAAGTTTTTACTATTTTTAAATCAATTTTACTGAAAAACGAATGAAAATCACATGTTTACAATTTTTTTACCTTTCTTCTCATCGATTAGAGACAGGTCGCCCTAATATACGAGAGGACTCAGATCTCCAGGGTGGACGAGTCGGTCATTGATTATTGGTTTTTAATCACTGGTCCAAACCAGTTCAGACAGTTTTTGGCCACTTTTAACCAGATTTCTTATATTTTTTTTATGTTTTCTCAATTATTTCTGAAAAACAGTTCGAAGGGTAAATCAACCAATCCTACCAGTTTCAACCAGTCTGGTATTCCAAAAATTGGATTATGCAAGTTCACCCAAAAAAAAAATTGGACCACGCAAACACATATGTTGACTCCATAACACATGGTCATATACTGAAAATAATGATGCTGATATGTTCCTTCAAAAGTGAGTCCAGACTCCAGATCTATGATTTTCACAGAAAATAGAGTTTAGATGATCTCTCAGTGACAAATGTAAAAAGGGTTTTGGTTGGCTTTCATATCATGACGAAATGATAATTGTTCTAAGGACTATGTGCAAATTTAAAAGGGTTTATATACAATTATATACTGGGATGAGGGACACGCTTGAGCATGTTTCAAAATCACCGGAGGACAAGCTGCCCAAACAATAGAACTCTTATATTACAATACAGTACCTAAAATCAGTAATTTAAAATTACATGGTGAAAGTTGAACTCCAAAACACTTTGAAGATCCACGCAAGTCTAAGTCATCAAGGTTCCATTACTACAAATTACGGGATTTTCATCAAGGACTCCGAGAAAATAAGTTTCTCTTAATTCACAAAGTTAGAATTACTTCTGGTGCTCTTTGGGTGGCACAGGCACCTAGACCAATCCCCAAGTTTAGATTAGCTAGAGTCATTTTTGCAATTCCTTCTCAAACACCATAGTTCAATGTCAAAGGTTAGACTCATCAAGGAATAAGTTAAATCTCATGTTTTCATAACAGCTTGCAACAATTTCCAGCGTAACTAATTAAGATTTATGTGAACACTTGTCAATTCATTTCCATAAAACAAAAAAATAACACTTATTCCCACATGCAAGAAAGCACTCATGTACATATGAAACTATGGCATCGCAAAGAACAATAATCATCAAGAGTAATTGAAGTTTATGGATTTGACCTACACGTTGGGACTTAGTAAATTTCTTTGGATATTTACCGACGATCAACCTATGAAAACAATTAAATGAAGAACACAAGCATGCTATAAAGGAAAATTCACGTAATCATCGAACAAGTTAATTACACAAAAAAAACCCACCCTCCCTATCATGAGGATACTACAAACAATGCTCTAAAGTACCATCATGACATATCCCTTGGTGAATTAAGAGATAATACTATAGATTTAACATCCTGTTCTAAATTAGATCATCACCAAAGCATGAATTCATCTTTTATGAATGGTACTGAGTCTATTTAATCAAAATTGAAATATCAAGCATCAATTTATCAATATTCTGATTTCGGATTTCGGATTTGGAGTTCTATATCTCTTAATGCTTTTGACAAACTTATTTCTCAGGGAAACGCTTGCAAGATTTCCAGACCACTCATTTCGATCCAGAAGGGTTAAAAAAGGGAATCAAGGACAAAACAGATCTTACTCCTTCTTTAGTCCCGATGAAGGATGTGCTATTCTCTGAGCAAAATCTCCTGAGACCATAGTAGAATTGACAGTAAATTGTTAAAATCTCCAAACATAATTCACATTTTATTTGAATCTTGAAAATACATAAGATCTCAACAATTGAAAGGGAAAGCAAGCCAACCATCATTGGTAACAATTATCAATCCAGTGGTAGCAACATCAAGACGACCAACTGTAAATAATCGTGGCTTTGGAATTCCCGGGTTGATTTTATTCTGACAGTACCACCCATCCAAGTCAGTCATTACAGCAACAATAATTTTATAAACAACATATACGCAATCCTGAGATGCAGACAAATTCATAACAAGGATCAATATCAAAACTGCATAGCCTATTCAAGAATTAATGCCTGAGCTATGTATATCAACATTTATCGAATAAAAATTCATCAAGATTTGAAACAAGTCATAGTAAAGACACCCACTCGAACATACCCAAGATTTCCAATAATCATCAAACAGCATGAGAACAGATTTAGATTCCTTCTCGCTGCTTGAACAAATGTATCTGCATAGATTTCATGTTAAACACTTTAGTTGCAGAACCTATGCCTGCGTTTACAAACAGAAACAAAGAAAGAAAGCCAAAAAAGTAGAGTAACAATTGGAGACTTTATGAAAACGAAGCAGAAAACGAACACTCACCCCTTCGGTTTGTTCAAAGCAAAATATAGCTTTGGAGGCAGTTTCTTTGCAAGGCGGCTCCCATTAACATAAATGACATCCTTGATAGGGTCAACCCTGGTCTACATGAATAAATTCCGATTTAAGATTCTACTTTATTGCCAATTATCCAAAACAAGAAAAAAAAAAAGATTCCACTTTATTGTTCCATGAATTATCTAAGTGACTTACTTGAACAAGGTACCAAAGTTAACAAGTAAAACCTTTAAAACAGGATGTAAGTCTTTTGTGCATGCATTTCCAGCAACAACACCTCGATTTTACAGAAATGGTACAGATATTCAAAAGTAAACAAAGATCAAAATTGCCATAAGACGTATCTCTTAACCACATTCCAAGTCAAGGAAAGTCAGATAGAAATTTCAACAAACTTGCAGTAGATTACAACTATAAAAAGCATTATCTTTTTCCCTTGTTTTTTTTCTTTTTTTTGTTAGTTCAGTAAGGAAGAGGTCCCCTACACATGGTAGAAATAGAACTCAAGATGTCACATTGTGGCATCCCGCCACCCTGACGATGCATTAGAAACAAAGTAATTATTATTTCTGCACAGCGAATGAAAACCACTACCGTTCTATTGAACTCTCTCAATTATAAATATACCCAGACATTCTATATATGACAAATGAGAAAATTGAAAATGCAGCTACCTACGTATGAATCAGCTAGTACTAGAAATGTAAATTTTTCCATTGTGACAGTTGACCATTTTTCATGTTCTAACAATTTAAATTTTGTTAATAGCATCTGACCTGTGGGCTGCCTTCACTCACATCTTGTGAGTATTTTTGTATCTATAGTTTATACACACACACACACACATATATATATATATAGTCAACTTGATAAAAAATAAAAATAAAAAGTATAGAAACTAACAAATACTAAGTATATAAACTAAAAAGCGTGCAAACTGTGGAAGACATTTTCAACAATGATTCACAAGCTAAGCTAAGCTCACGTCCTTTGCAGGTCTTCAATGGCAGATCCTTCATATTTTTAGGGAAGCTAACATGACGGTCGATCACCTAGCTAAGAGGGCGGCCTCCATGGATGAAGCAACAGTGTGGTACACCCGCCTCCCTGATTTTCTATCTCCTTTTCTCTTACCATATGTTGCTAGTGTTCTAAATGAATGTACATGTAAAATCCTTTTTTTCCTTATTAATAAAATGATTTACCCAAAAAAAACAATCCACAAGGCTTATAGAAAACAGGAATCTGCTAAAGAATTAGGTGTTTTGATAAATACAAAAAACAATATGCAATTTCAAAAGAAAAACAACGAATAAAACTTCAGAAGGTCGAAGGCCAGCATCATACCTGAGGAACATTACACACAGATCCATTCACAGTCACTTTCCCATCAAAAATAAGCTCTTCACTTGAACGACGAGAAGCCACTGCAAAAATAGGCCACTCCATAACCATCAAAAAAAAAACTAAAGGAAACAAATGACCCAAATGGAAAAGAAAGGACTTCTGTGGTTTCAAACCATCTTCCCCACCCAAAAAATGGAAGGAAATTAGAAAGGGAGTCAGAGAGAGAGAAGACAAACAGAGAGGGAGAGATAAAGAGAAAATGAAAATGTAAGGAGATATGTTCCATACCGCCAGCTGAAGCAAGCACTTTACTGAGTCGCTGGGGTTCTCTAAAATTCTGGTTATAAAACCTGCGAGCCGCTTTTGAGTGCTTGGGTTCCGCTGATAGGCTTCCACTTTTTGAACCCCCCTCCTTTTTCTTCTTCGTCTTCTTAGCAGTGGAGGCCTCAGCCATGGCGCTGAGAATATGAGCAGGAGGGGTCGACTGAATTTTCAAATTCCCGTTCTCATCCTTCACAATCCATGGAATAAAGAGAGGAGCAGGCTGAGAGGGAAGTTCCTTTTGAGGTGCTTTAATGGAGGAAGAGGAATCTTGTTCTCCCATTTCTGGTGATGGGTTTTCCTTCTTTCTGGCCCCAAACGTGATGTTGAATTGCGTACTTGCAGAGGAAGCTTTGATGAGAGGGACGTTGCGTGATGTGAAGCTTCTGCAACAACCGCGGTGGTGGTTTTGAAATTCGGGGAGAAAGAAGAGAGAGGAGAGAAATTTTGCAGAGGATTCCCTTACAAAGAGCGAGGAAGAAGCTGCTGTAAACGCCATTGTTTGTGTCCTCTCTCTCATACACCAGGTACGTCTCTGTCTCTTTATCTCTCTACTCAGCAAGCACTTCTTCCTTCCGCCCCACCTTACCATTTCCCCATTCCTTGCTTTTCCCCCTCTCTCGTACAGGAAACAAAGATATGCAGGCGTTTTGCCTGGAACGTGCCTCCCCGCATTAAGAGAGGAAAACAACGAATATATGAGCGGAAAATATCGAATATATAAAATGAATAATGATCCGACGAGACCCTCTCACACCCATAGCCAAAGGATTATCGTTAAATTCGGTATTTAATGGTTATTATTGGATCCTACTGGGTGCGGGAGGGTCAGGTAGAATTATTACTGATATGATAAAATTTAATATATAAAAAAAATCGATTGATGACTTGAATCGTCCATCTCGAAAATAGGTCGGGTTGGGTCGGATCAGATTCATAGATCAACGGCTATTCAGATGGGGGAATAGGCTAAATTCAGCATTAAATAATTTCAAAAAATTATTAAAATCTAATATTTTTCAATTTAAAAATATATATATCAAAAACCCCCTCCCAACAGCTTCCATTCTTCTTAAACACTCAGCTCAGGTTTAAAGCTTAGGACGGTAGGCACCCAATTTTCTTTATTCTTTTTATGAATTTCAACATTTTGTTTTAAAATATATCAAACACATCCATTAATTAAAATAATTTCCCTCTGTTTTTTCCCTTTCTTCTATTGTCCAAAACTAAGAAAGGTGTTAACCTCTACATCATATATGGGTTTATTTAAAATAATTTCCCTCCCTCTTTTTCCTCTTTTCTATTGTCTAAAACTAAAAAAAGTAGTAACCTCTACATCAGATATGGATTTATTGACATTGAATCCACCTCCAGAAAACTTAATTTATGCAGAACTTAGAGAGATGAGAGCCATAGTTTTGTTTTTTTATCTAACCTTAATTTTTTAGGATACTTCAGAGAGTGCCATGTTTCTCGTCTACAAGAAGAGAGCGCGCATGGAGGGAGAAGAGAGCTTGGGGAGTGAGTCTACAAGAAGAGAGCGCACATAGAGGGAGAAGAGAGCTTGGGGAGTGAGTATAGAGAAAAGAAACTTGGGAAGGGTGGAGAGGAGAGTTGTGGGAAGGGTGCTGCGAGAGAACCTGGGGTGTGACAGGAAGAGATGCAGGATAGGGAAATGTTTGGGGTTCTCATGTTTTGTTTTTAATTTCAGATTACCATGTCATTTCTTTTGAGAATTGGTTGTTTTGATAAATAACATATGGTGGTTGTTTTGATAAATAACATACGGTGAAAGATGAAAAGGGAAGGTGTTGGTTCTTCTTTTATAAACTTTGGGGGAACTAAGGGTTTTACATTAATTTTAGGGTCTACAAGGCCCAAAAGTCTGGGAGAGGGGGTAGTCGGTCACTTTCCCCGAAAATAGCATTAAATTATAATTTTAATTACTTTACAAAAAATATATAAATAATGAAAACTTTTAAAATCTAAGTTTTTAGGATTTTCAAAAAAAAAAAAAGAGTGGGAAGGGGGGGGGGAATTACGTATATATCCATTATAGTTTCCGTTATTACCAAAATACCAAATAGTTTCCGTTATTACTGAAATATCTGGAATGTTTGTTTTTTTCACTTCATAACGAAAATTTTAAAATAAGAATTTTCTACCCTTTTTCGGTTTTTGAACAACCGAAATGGTTGGATTCTCGGTTGTTCAAAAATTGAAAATAAGCTAATTTTCGTTCTTGAACAACCGAAAATAGCGGGGCTCGTTTAAGCTTCTGGAATACGCAGTCACATTTTCGGTTGTTGAACAACGAAAATATGACATTTTAGGTTATTCAACAACCGAAAACAAGAATGCAAATTCTAAGCTTCTGTTCTATTTTTTATTGTTAATAGGATATTTTCGAATGTTGAACAAGCAAGGATAGAACATTTTCGGATGTTAAACAACCAAAAATGTCCAGCAAACTTCTGGAATACGCAGTCATATTTTCGGTTGTTCAACAACCGAAAACAAGACATTTTCGGTTGTTCAACAACCAAAAACAAGACATTATCGGTTGTTCAATAACCAAAAACAAAACACTTTCGGTTGTTGAACATCCGAAAAGAAGAATACAAATTCTAAGAATACAAATTCCAAGCTTCAACCTATTTTCGGTTGTTCAAAAACCAAAAAAAAGGTAAAAAAAGTCTTTTTTAAAAATTTCCGTTATGAAGTGAAAAAAAACAGACATTCCAGTTATAACGGAAACTATCGGTATTTTGGTAATAATGGAAACTATAATGGATATATACTTAATTTTTCCAAAAAAAGTATTAAATTATAGCTTTTTGGTTTATAAAATATATATAAATGTTGAGAACTTGTCTCTTGTATAAGTATTTGTAGTCTATTAAATTCTCTTCATAGCCAATAATTCATCTTCTATATCTCAAATATCTAATGGATAAATAAATATGTGACAATGAAAACTCAGTTTGACACTGAAATTATTTCTCGTGCCATATGAATCAATTTAAAATATAGGATAAAAAAGATAGTAGTGTGACTTTTTTAAATTTAGGCATGTTACTATTATCCCTTGGGAACATAATTTATCTACTCCCTTGGTGAGGCTACCTATTTGTAAGGAATTTTTCGATCTGAATTTTTTAAATCATCTAAAAATTAATAGATGATTATTCTCAAAAAAAAAAAAAAGAATTTTCTAGCGCATAGATCTCACCTTCTAAAAATTGAATGGTTTGTTTTCAATCTTGAGTTATTAATTTTTCCAAGTGCATAGGTGGTACAATTAGGAGATTTTTTATGGATTTTAATCTATGAATTGAAGATGTTATATCCCTAAAAGTTGAGATCCTAAAATTAACCCTTCGTAGAGTTTGCTCAAGGGAATAAAACAAAGAGAGAACAGTAGCAATTAATGGCCCCTTCTATCTCTCTTTCTCTCTCTCTCTCTCTCTCTCTCTCTCTCTCTCTCTCTCTTCGTCTTTGCGTTACAGCGTTACCTATATCTCCCTCTCTCACATTATCAACTATATCTCATTCATTCCTATTGCTTAAATTTTATCTCACATCTGATAGTTTTCAAACGGTGACAATGATGCAAATAAAAATTAGGGTTTTCTAATTTCTTATTTTATATTTTTAAATTTTAGAAAATGTGTTATGTGATATTTCAGTTTTCTTTACGGTTATTCTTGTTTTTTTAGTTGTAGAGATTTAAAGGGTAAAATTATGAATTATCTATGAGAGTTCGTTAAAATAGCGGGGGAGGGTTGAGGTTGTTATCTCTTAATTGGTTGTTGAGCATCATGAAAGAAAAAAAAAAAAAAAGATAAGGGGGAGTTAGAAAATATATCAAACATCCTTTTTATAAGATATGAGAGAGAGAGAGAGAGAGAGAGAGAGAGATAAAGTTGTTTTTTGGTTTTGTGTATTTATTTATTTTTAACTAAGTGAATTTAAAAGGAAGATGACCCTTCTTTGTAAAAAGAGATTGTTGGTAATTGAGTAAAAAGTTTGATCTTGTGAAAAAATCTTGGGATGAACTCCCTTGCAAGCCTAGAGAGAAGATATAATATCTTAAAATATTTTTTATTTTTTTTATTCTAGTTTGTTATTTTCTACTTGCATCAGTTAGTATCAGTGCCTTGAGATCTGTGGTGATTACAAATAGCTAAATGTTCTAATTATGTAGCGTATAGGTCAAATATTAAGTGATTGGATCAAATATTTGAGAGAGTCAAAGAAGATCTAGTAGAATATATTAGTAAAGTAATAGAACAAGGTCTACAAGATCTATTTAGTATATTGCAGCAAGAGGAAGAAGAATATGAAGATGTATATCTCGATGCAAAAGAAGACGTTGGTAGCACAGATGTGCAAAAAAATCTTGAAAATCAATTGTGAAGAAGAAAATATTTGTGTTGTAGCTTATAAAAAACCATCATGTGAGCCTGAAGGAGAAATCAAGATTCTGTTTGGTATTCTAGATTTCAGTGTCTCAGATTTTCACTACAAATCGTGTTGGATCAATTGTTATTTAAAGAAGAAAAAGTACCTAAAAGAATATTAGTACTGCATCAATAACTTCTGAGAATACCTCTAAAAGATTTGAGTTCTATAAGCTCGAGGTCGAGCTTCTCCCAACCTAGAGAGAATGATGCAAATAAAATTAGGGGTTTTTAAATTTTTTATTTATATTTTTCTTAATTTTGGAAAAGATGTTATTTGAAATTTTGGTTTTCTTCAGGGTTATAATTGTCTTCTTTGGGCTTGTTTGGGTACCTCGAGAAGCCTAACTTAGGGATAGGCTTCTTATGGAATTAGTCTGTCCCTGGGATAGGGGTGTTTGCTGCTTGGATAACATCTGATAAGAAACATAGAATATGCTTGTTTACTCTGAAGATGTGAATCTATGAAAATTCAATTGAAGTTTTTTTATTTTCACCCTATATTTAATTTAATACTAATTAACTTCTCACATTCGTTCCAAAATTCAATATCATTTCTTAATTATGATGAAATCCTTATTTGTTCTTTTTCCTTTCCATTGTATCTTTATATATAAATATCTTACATTCCAAATATTCTATTATCAATGTATTGGAAAATTATCAAATTATATACTTTCCAATTTTGAAACTCATAATTAATATCTCTGATTCTTGTAAGGCAAACAATGTAGCAGTTCATGAGCAGATTCCTTGGGCCCAAGTTTCTTAGAAATCTAATATTTGAGCACCAATAAGTTAATCCAAAATTAGGTTTTATTTGTAATAACATTCTAACTATTAAAGCCAATAGTAGCACAGTCACAATGAGAGGAGGCCAGAAGGGAAGAGAGAAGAAAGAAAGAGTGGACAAAACTTAGATAGTCAAAGTGAGTGTGCATCAAGTATTGTTCCATTCACACCTATTTCATACAATACACTCCAAAATCGAATATCGAATAACTATACAACCAAGCCCCCACATACATAGTAGAAAATACGAGATAGGGAGAGTGAGTTTGCATCAAGTTCTAGTTTAGCTTAGAGTAGTAATGGAAAATAATTCATGATAAATGAAATATGTAATGTGATAACGCGCATATGCATATAAGCATCACTACGAATGTGGTTGTCTTCAATGCACTCCCACTTGTAGGAACAACTAACCTACACGTCCATGGCGACTTTGATAATCTCGAAATCATTGCTCTGCCTCCTCTATAGTGGAGTAGAAGCAATACATGGCATTTTAGTAGCCTAGCACTTGTCTGGATCATTAGGCCTACATCATATATATCCCGGGGTTGCTGCCAATATACAC